AGACCTTTAAAGTCATTTTATTGTTCCCTGTATGTCAGTATTATCAGTACTTACTTAAAAGATTCGAGCTGATACAAAAATAATGAATTTCCAGTTATCTCTGCATGCATAAATTGACTTGAAAACCAACACAGTCTAAAAAAAAAATCTTAATCATGAAATAGCAGCTTTGCTTAGGTGCAAAAAAAAACCCTGTCCCTGTTGAGAGTCATCACCCCAATGAAACAAAGCTGTGCAGAATTTAATTTTCACCCAATGTTTTGGTGCAACTGCCCCCACATTACAAAGAGGTTCTGTGCTACAATAGAAAACTACTCTGGTTATAAGGCTTCTTTACACTTGTAAATCTAATTCAGAGTTCCTTTGATTATATCCAAAAAAACAGACATACAAAGAGGAAGCACTATCTTTTAAATATATATTATAAATCAATTTAGGCTTGCAGGAGAATGTCTTTCCCTGATTGAGGACTGAAACCTAAACAATTAATACTAGACCTTCATGGCAAAGTGTACAGTACAGCATCTTATGGTGGAAATGTCACAGTAGTCTTGTCTTGGAGATGGCTGCAGCATCTTCCAGGTAAGCTGTAGCCATCTGATTCAAAAGGAGGGTTTGGATTCTGGTTCAGTTTGAAAGCTCTTGTGCTCTGACGGACTTCACTGTTCTTCTAATTTTGGTCAATGAAACTGGCTGTAATTGTGTTCTGTATGTAACATCTACTTTAACTTCATAACATATTTTAACCTTTTTGCTTCAGGAAACAGTAAGTTTGAAATTTGTCTCCGGAGCACATTCTGTGCTTGCCTTTTACAGAACACATATAGAACATGGTAAGTGTTTTCCTGGCATTGGTTTTTGTGTTATAGAACTCCCCCAATGGCAGCTAAGTAGATTCATCAAAAAACTGCACAAATTATACTTCAGAGTACTAATAAAAGCAGTGAGTTTAACTAGCAAATATGGGATGCATTTTAACTCCAAAGTAGAATCACTCTGTTCACAATGCATTCCACTGCATCTGGTTGTTGCACATGCCCCTCTATGGCACCGAGATGGTGACAAAAATGTATTTCACGCACACCATTTCACGTGCCATGTTTCTTCTGCTGTAAGCAGTGAGCAATACAGCATCTTAAATCTCAATGCCCGAATGAAAGCACAGACCAAGCTCAAAAATGAAAAACCCCAAAACTTGTCCCCGTTAAAGTTTAGGAAAAAAAGAAAAAACCTACCTTGTTTTCAAAAAGAATAGATGAATTTAGGCGTGGTCTTACTGCAATCCTAGTGATAGTCATGAGCAGTACCTTCACATTTTAAATAGATTTATAATTTCAGGGAGTTCGGTGAACACGCCTGCCACTCTACTATCAGAGGGGTGCTCGGACACTGGACCAGGCTCCCCAGGGTCATGGCCCCAAGACTGACAGAGCTCAAGCAGCATTTGGACAATGCTCCCAGGCACATGGTGTGACTCTTGGGGATGGTGCTGTGCAGGGCCAGAAGTTGGACTTCACTGACCCTTGTGGGTCCCTCTCAGGATATTCTGTGATTCTACTAAAGTTACTTTCACATCTTGTTAGACTGAGCCTAGAACACTCGTTGCAAAAACAAGGCCACAGTCCAACCTGACAACTGTTTGCTTTGCAAAAAGGTAGACTGGGGCACCCCATAGCAAATGAACCAGCGTTAATCAGAAAGAAGAGATGATTACTGTGGAGAAACAATGGTATCAGGTATCAGCAGAGAACATGGGTATGTCCAATACCATCATACCATGATTTTAAATCTCATCAGCAGTAAGGATGCACCTAAATCCATAGCAACTAAAAGCAAATAGGATACATGCTTAAATAAATATATATATATATATATAAACCCAGATATGTCTTTCTGGTGTTTTTGTTTT